CTTGTGTACAGTTAGACCTAACTGTGAGGTCATATTTTCCTCAAAGTTGTGTCTAAAGTTGGGTGTTTCCATAAGAATCTAAGAAATATTTTTCTAAACGGGGGGAAAAAGATATCACACTCTCATCGTCACATTTATAAAGGCAATATCGATTTGTATCTTCAGAGTCTGACGGAAGTCTTAAAAATTGAAAATAACATATTAGGCTTCCAGAGTAAATAATCTAAAACATACAACATCAACTATATGGCAGTTTTTACCAGTTAATGAAACCATTACACTGATGTTTAAAATAGCCAGGTTTTCTAATCATGCCAGATCAACCTATTTTTTTCTATTATAACTTCAAAACAGCTTGTACTTCTGTATTTCCCTAAACTTCTACAATAAAGGATTAATTTTAGTCAGAGAGACACTTAAATATCAGTGATTTATTATAGGCCGTGATTTCCAAACCAAACACATACCAAAGGTCTGAAACTGCCTGGAAGAGGTACACACCCTAGAGAACCACCTGAGGCCCTGCTTATACATGGAGAATGCCAGCAACTAGTTGAGAACTTTGAAGCCATCCAATTACTGCCCACAATTGCATTTCCTCACCTTCTCTAAGACCACCACTCCTAAGACCACCACCCCTAAGACCACCACCCCTAAGACCACCACCCCACGATAACCCTCACTACACTGAATCATATAATTCACAATCATATTCTCACTCATAGGACAAACCAACAGATCTGGCCTAACATACAAAAGCTACTCAAAAAGGTGACTATGCATTTGTTTATTTCCCCCACTCCAAAAAAAAGAAATTATGATCTGTAATCAGGAGCCTGATTCCCCTGCTGACTTAATGGGGAAAATTGAATACTCACTCAAAATATTCTATTCCACTTTTAAGCCCCAAATAAAATGGCCTAGGGCAGGCTATAACTCACAGGTGCACCAGGCACTTGTGGACACAACTGAAAGACTTCTTACAGTTGATTCTCTCCCACAGATGATGTTTACCGCTGTTGTACAGATACTGAGAACACAGGCCCATGAAACTAGTCCTTCATTAAATGGGTAGTTTGACCAGAATAGCCACTTACATACCAGAAGAGACCATTGGTTAAGAGCTTCTATTAGCCTTTGGACTTGGCTTTAAAAAGGGCATAACAGAGATATTACTATACACCTATTGGAATGGTCAAAATCCAGAACACTGACAACAGCAAATGTTGGTGAGCAACAGCAACTCTTTTTTTTTTTTTTGAGACGTTGTCTGGCTCTGTCGCCCAGGCTGGAGTGCAGTGGCGTGATGTTGGCTCACTGCAACCTCTGCCTCCTGGGTTCAGGCAATTCTCCTGCCTCAGTCTCCAGGGAGTCTGGGATTACAGGCATGCATCACCACCCCCAGCTAATTTTCCTGTACCTTTTTTTTTTTTTTTAGCAGAGATGGAGTTTCACCATGTTGGCCAGGCTGGTCTCGAACTCTTGAGCTCAGGTGATCCGCCTGCCTCGGTCTCCCCAAAGTGCTGGGATTACAGGTGTAAGACACCACGCCCGGCCCCGCAAAAGCAACTCTTACTCATTGTTGGTGGGAATGAAAAACAGTGCAGCTACTTTGGAAGACAGTGTGGCAATTTCTTATAAAACTAAACATACTCTTACCATGTAATTCAGCCATCATGCTCTTTGGTATTTAAACAAATGAACTGATATCTTTCCAGACAAAACCCTGCACATGAATATTTCCAGCAACTTTATTCATAATTGCCAAAAGGTGGAAACAACCAAGATGCCCTTCAGGAGGTGAATGGATAAATTATGATCCATCCAAACAATGAAATACTATTTAACCCTGAACAGAAACCAAGACATAGGAGTTGGGGAACATGGAGGAAACTTAAATGCATTTACTAAGTGAAAAAGCTGCATACTGTATGATTCCAATTACATGACATTCTGGGAAAGGCAAAACTAAGGAGAGAGTAAAAAAGATCAGTGGTTGCCAGGAGTTAGCAGGGAGGGAAAGATGAACAGAGCATGGAAGACTTCTAGGGCAGAAAAACTCTGTGTAATACTATAATGGTGGACATATGTCATTATACATTTGTCTAAACTCATAGAATATACAAGACCAAGTAAACTCTAGACTTTGGGTGATAATGATGTATCAATGTAGGTTCACTGACTGTAACAATGGACCACTATGATATAAGACGCTGACGGTGGAGGAGGTCGTGCCTGTATGAAGGCAAGGGTTATGTGGGAAATTTCTGTACTTTATGTTCAGTGATACTCTGAAGATAAAAGTGCTCTAAAAAGTAAAGTCTATTAAAAAACAAAACAAGTGGCGGCAGGGGGAGACTGTCTCTTCCCCAGGGAGTGGCAAAAAGGCAATGTGCCTTTCTGAACATGCTCAAGGAAAAAGAAGGCCACAATCACCTTTAGTGCCCAAGAACATGAACGTTAATATCACAATTGGAACTAAAAAGAGCCAGAAAGGCAATTACCAGAATTATGGTACCATCTTCCCTTCAAATTAACAGTGAAAACTCTTAACAGTGTTTTCACTGTGAAAAATCTAACAAGGTCTTCACTTAATTATCAGAAACTTCCTAGACTGCCACTAGCAAGGGTAATGCTTAAGTGAGCAATGTCAGGGTTTGTACAGCTTAACCTTGATATAAACTACTAAAGTGTAGTTCAATGGACTCTCTGCATTCACAGATACACTTCATGGAGTCACATACATTTCTCCTCCCACATTACATACCTGAGAGGTCAAACGTACCCCTACAGAATCTGGATCCTAGGTCAGTTAACACCTGCAAAATCTTGAAGGAATCTGTTTCCTGCATTTATCATTCAGCTCCTCAGTAACAACTGCCAAGTATTAGGAAACCAGGTGAACCACAAGCACTTTTTTATTTGTCTCCCTGAATATATTAGTCAGAGATTAAAGAAGAACTGAGAGGCTTCTGGTACTTGTGCAGTGTCATCTAAAACAATTTTAACTTTACTCATTAACACCACACGACATTTCACAAAGTATATTCGGCTGGATGTTTTAGTTAAGGGTAAGTGCTAAGAAAAAAAGCCACCACCTTAAACACTTTTCGAGCTAAGTACTCAGAAGGCCTCTCTGGTTTGAAACACCAGGAATGAACACATTTGTTCCTGCAAAGCCAACATGTGTAAGTACAGTTTACAAACCTACTTATAGTACGGTCGAAGTGTCAAACAGATAACCCTTTCATAGTCTCTGCATCCCTCATTCCTCCCTCCCCAACAAAATCAGCCTGAATTGCCTACTGCATGCAAAAGGCTATTTCACTTCATGCAAGTTTTACTACTTTCCATGGTTCACAACCTCCAAGAGACTAACCCTCTCATTTACTAACTCAAATCTTAAATAAACTGCCTCCACCAACTTCCCTCTCTTCTTAACCTCCACTCAGCAAAGACATCTCTGTCAGCCAAGAAAGCTGCATAGAAGGTTTGGAAGTGGCTGCCTCTGCAAATTCCCCGCCCCCACCCCCCTTCCTACCAAAAGGGCACTTCAAGAACTTTACCATCTCACATGCAAGTTGCTCCAATTCCATTCTCCAAAATTGGATTTGAGCATGAAAAGTTTCTTTTTACAATCAACTGCTATTTAGGCTACTGATCACACTTAACCTGCAACTTGCTTTCTACACAAATTAAGAATGCCATCTAGTTCTCATGTATGAACCAGCATTGGGGGTATACATACTCGCGCACATATATACACAGGCTCCTCCACCGAAGACCATTTCCCGGCACAAGGGGCATCCTAAACTTGCCCCATTTCCAAGATGGGACCTTCCATCCCCAAATTCATCCCTTTTTCTTCATTTCAAAGTTCAGCCTAATCCTCTATTTTGCAGCAGCTATGGCAATTTATCCCCCTTGATTTCTTGACATTTTCTTCTCTCCTCCTGGCTGGGAAACTTCTGATTTGAATACAGTTGTCTGTGTGGGGATCCTGCATGCTAATGATGTGGTGAGCTGGCAGGGATGATAGGTGAGAGTACACAGTGTACTTTTTCTAGTTACGTTTCGCCTCATCACTGCTATACGGGCCTTTCTAAACGCCTGCCACACCAGGAGAGACCTGCAGACCCAAGCTTACCCTTTTCTGTGCAGCCTCCAGGGACCAGGTAGAAACAGAACTGATGGCCTGTTCTCCAGTATCTAGACTCAGAAGCAAGATACTCCTAATCACTCTACGAATGGAGCGAACACACGTACCTCTGGCTCAGCCAGGGAGTCACAGTCGCTACCCTTCCCCTGGTTTCGGCCCCAGCCTTGTCCAGGCCTGAATGCTTCACTCTCCTCGCAGTAAACCGTCCACTCTCCCACTCCAAGGCAAAGAGCTTCCAATGGAGGTGGGAGCATTAGCTTGGTACCCGCCCTTCCCTCTCGATCCTGGCCAGAAAACTCCACTTCCCGGATTCCCGGCCACTCTCTCCCGCCCCGTACCCGGGCGATCCAGCTAGTGCCGTCCAGATGCCAGCTTAGTACCCAGCCCAGCTGCGAACCCCCCACACTCCGAGCCAGGCCCCAGTAAGAGATCCCAGCTTCCGCTCTCTCCCACGGACTGGGGTTCCCCAGATTCTGGACGCACCCCTCAAGCATGCTAGGGCTGAAAAAAGTCCTACCCCGCCCCCCAGCCACGCCGCCAGCCTCCAGCCCAGCCCCGGAGGGGCCTCCTCTCCAGAGGCCAAAAGGGACCATGAATGGTTGCCACAGTAGCCTTCCCCCGCACCGCGCAAGGGTCCTCAGCCCCCCGAGGAGGACAGACCCGCGTGGCCCCGAAAAGACACCTCCCTCTCCTCCCGGAGGCCAGCAGGTCCCCGCAGGGAGTGTGCTCTCAGAGGGTTCCCGGGAATCTGGGGAAGACTGGGGGTTGCCTGGATTCGGGTGCAGCCCCTCCCGGGCCGGGCGGAGGTTGGCGCTGCGGCGCGCCCCCGGGGGGCACTCACGATGGTCACGCTGGCTTTGCGCAGGTCGCGGTTCTCCTCCTGCAGTGCCTTGCACTTCAGTTTGTAGGTCTCCAGCTCTATCTTCAGCACCTTGTTCTCTTGCTGCAGCGAGGCCAGGCGGTTGGTGAGCTCCTCCAGGCGGAACGGCGAGATGACAATGCCCCCCGACTTCCCACCGCCGCTGCCTCCCCCGCCGCCACCGCCGCCGCCCGAGGTCGACGAGCAGGACGACTGCATGGCGGCCGAGCTGCTGCTGTTGCCCCCCGCCCCGTCCGTGTCGCTCTCGCTGGCGCTGTCCGCCATGGCCGCGGCGGGCTGGGGAAAGGAGGAGGAGCAGCAGGGAGGCGGCGGCGGCGAAGGCCGGGCTGCGAATGAGTGGGCGCCGGGCGAGCACAGGGGAGCGCCGAGCTGAGCGCCTGGCACCAGGGCGCAGACTCGGAGCGGCGGCGAGAGAAAGAGAGGGCGCTTCCCGCTGCCAAGGGACCTCCTCTGCCAGAGAACAGAGACCCCGCCCGGGCTTGGGCAGTATTGCACTGGGGCTTGCTCCAGCCGGGCCGGGCGCGCTCGCTAGGCCGCCCAGCAGAGCTGGCTGAAAGCTTGGGGACCCGCCCGCCGCCGCCTGGTGACCACGGGCGGGCTGGGAACGCGCAGGCACTGCGGGTGCGGGAAAGCCAAGGACTGCCCCCGCACCACCAGCTCACCAGCCACACGTGTTCCAAGGGAGGGCCTATGAGCCCCCTGGTCTAAGCCCGCGGCCGCCCAGCCTCTTCCGGGCTCGCGCCCGCCCCAAGAAAAAAGAAACCTGATGCCCCACCAGCCTCGCAGGTGCCGGGGACACGTGGAAAGGTCAGCCGGGCTCCGGCGCCCATCCTCTACCGTGTTGTGGCCCCATCTTCCGCCGACTGTGTGTGCGCGTGTCTCCCTCTATCTGTTTCACACATACACGCAGTTTTATATTATCAAAAGCAAGGTGTTTTTGACTGGGAAGGCTTGGATAAACCTAAGAGAACAAAGTTCCTCTACAAGAGGCCAAGGAGGATGAAACAGCAGCAGCCACAGGCTAACCTTGTTAAGAAAGAATTTGCAGGAGAGACACACACCCCCTTTAATAACCTCATAAACCACACTGCGCTCAATTGTTTAAACAAGGTGCAACTGGTTTTTTTTTTTTTCTCTTTGCATTTTGCAAACATTTCCAGCACATGTCACGCAGTAGGATTAAGACAGTAACATTTATCTGATGAAGAAAAAAAAAAGGAAAGCGAAACACTTTTAGCAGAAGATTGAAACACCTCTTTAAGTGCCAATTTTTCAAAGTAACTGCGGACATAACATTATGCTATACAAATAGTAATGATTGAGTGGGAGTACAACATCACCCTTCTTTGCTATCCTCTTGCTCACTCCTAGAAAACTTTAGCATGTAAAAACAAAACAGTAATTACTACAAGGCGGTCTAATTCAGGGTTCTAGCTTTGCAGTTTAAGAAATTAAAAATCAAAAACTTTTATTCCCACTCCCTCTTCCCAAAGGCTTGCAGGCAATTGGCCCAGCAGGTGAGATGATTCTAAACACTTTGCCCTGTTGACACAAAACAGCTTTCACTTATGTATAAAAATTGGAAAGTGAAACTGACCAGACTAGTTTTATTACCCATGCTTAGTTAACATTAGAACAAACACATGGAAACAGAAAATAGAAAAAAAAAAAGTGTAATTTTGTTTTCTGTTGCGTTGAACTTTCTGAAAGATTTCTAAGGCGTTAGGAAGAAGGAAGAATGATTCTTATTCCCACTCCCTCGTTATCTTTAAACTTAAATTTGATCTCATGATTAAACAGTGATTCAATGGCTCTTGGAAACTGGCACCTCAGAATAAACTCGAAAACACCAAGTGTTCCAAATGACATCATCTTTCACCAAGATGGCTGCTTTCAGCAAACAGCTTAAATGCCAACAGCAACTAAACCCCCATTTCTCCCAGGTAGTTTAGCTTAGTGCTAGAGGGCTTCTGAACTCTGTCACTGTTTGTGTAGCAGGAGGGGGGAAAGGCTTGGCTTTGCTCTTGAGAAACATATAGGCAATCTAAATCATTCTGTTACAAGTGATCCAGTTTAATTTGCACTGAAACTTAGTTCTCTCACTTTTTTGGGATCTAGTACATGAGACAATCAGCTAGTTAAGTTGGAAACGGATTCTGGAAAGCTCACTTGAGGAATGAAATGGAAGAGTAAAGCTAGGAGGGAGCAGCACCACAGGGGGAAACAGATTTAACAACATTCTTTCCACTTTATTCAGCACTGTGATCGAATCTTAAGAGTCGGGCTGGCTGCCATACCTCACAAGTTTCTATTGTTCCCTATTCCATAGTATCTTAAAGCTTCCACTTTTGGAGCTTATTGCAACAGGAACATTCCTTCCAGGCAGAGCAGGGGGCAAATTAACTCTCCTAGCGTCACCACAAAACTAACCGCTTTGGAAAGGCGGACTCACACTGCTTCAAGTCAGCAGAGGGGTGGAGTTTGAAGCGCCTGGTTTTCTTAAAGGGCCCACGTCATGGTAAGCTTAAGAACGTAGTGGCCTTCAATAGGATTTGGAGGAAATTTGCATTTTGGCATGGTACTTGTAGGTAGTAATCGTGTTTAGAAGACTTTAGGGAGAACCCATCTTCTAAAGCTTCCCTGCTGATACAGATGGGAATAAACTGGAGAATATTTTTTCACCGTGGTTTTTATTGTTATTGCAAAGCAGAAGCGTGTCTAATTTTCTATGTCTTGTAAAAGTGATTTCCCTTATACACAGATCATTTATCACAACACTGGTTCCGTAATAGCATTACAATGGAAACACCAGTTACAAAACCAATAATATCATTATAAAACTCCTTCTCAGCTTTCTAGGGGAAATGAATCAGAAGAACAAATAGTAGTATGTGCTACCTGGAGGAAGAAGGGACAGATTTAGGTAATCACCTCCTTTGGAGAAATAATGAAATTTAGCTTTGTCCTAAATTTAAGCTGCAAAAACACATGAACAAAGGAAAAGAATACCTTGTAGCCTAACTGCAAGGCACAACATCAAGATTTTTCTTTGTCTAATGCCATTTTTGCAAATGACTTACTCTATGGCCTTGGAACTTTAGTGTTTTCAACAATAAAATAAAATAATAATGGCATAAATCATAGAGCAATTTTGTTAATTTTTAATATCTATAAACAAATTGTTGTACATATCTAGTTACATTAATGTCAGATCTCAGTAATTTTATTCAAATTCTAAATGGATTTAGTTGTTGCAGGACTCACCATTACAGTTTTGAAAAGAATTAGGGTGAGCCGAGTATGAGCGGGATGTCACAGAGTGTCCGAATTTGGATAGAAACATAGAAGAATGTGTCCATGTAGCGTTATCATTTCTCCTTCTTTTTTTTTTTTTTTTTTTTTTAAGAAACTAGGTTTCTCTGTGTTGACCAGTCTCGTCTTGAATTCCTGGCCTTGCACTCCTGGACTCAAGTGATCCTCCTGCCTTGGACTCTCAAAGTGTTGGGATGACAGGCCAGAGCCACTGTGCCCAGCCTAGGGCTATCATTTCTTGAAAGTAGTTGATAGTTTATTTATTTAATTACACCTTTAATTTAGAAGCTTTGTCTAGGTCTAGCAAGGCATTTCTGAACACTGACATTTGAGACTGGGTAATTTTTTGTTGTAGGGAGCTGTCCTGTGCATTGTAGGATGTTTAGCAGCATCCCTAGCCTCTACCTAGTAGATTCCAGTAGTATGTCAGCCAAAAATGTCTTCAGACATTGCCAAATATCCCCTGGGCTGCAAAATTGCCTCCAGTTTGAAACCACTGGGCTAGCAGTATAAAAGACAGCCCCATTTTGGAGTGGTTACACGTTGATTAGATACCACTGAGTCATCAAGAGAATTTGCTTCTCATTTTGTCTTCTCAGTGTCAATTAGACAAGAGATCCTGGGCCCAAACAACCATATCCACACTTTATACTATTGCTGTCTTTAGCCACTCTATTTCTTTTTTTTTTTTTTTCTTTTTGGAAACCAAGTTTCGCTCTATCGCCCAGGTTAGAGTGCAGTGGCACAATCTCTGCTCACTGCAACCTCCGCCTCCTGGGTTTAAGCAATTCTCCTGCCTCAGCCTCCAGAGTAGCTGGGACTACAGGCGCCAGCCACCACACCTGGCTAGTTTTTTGTATTTTTAGTAGAGACTAGGTTTCACCATGTTAGCCAGGCTGGTCTTGAACTCCTGACCTCAGGTGGTCCATCCACCTCAGCCTCCCAAAGTGGGGGGATTACAGACATGAGCCACCGTGCCCAGCCCAGTTACTCTATTTCTACAACATGCTTTTTCAATATTTTACACTTGTTAACATAAAACTAGCCTTGCACATGCAACATCTCAACTCGGCAAGAGATCATGACTACAAAATTAATTACATATCTCATCCCTGTGCTCCTGTTTTTATTCACTTATTATTGGTTCACAGGAATCAAATACAGATGACAGTCTAAAGAAATAAGCCATCAGCTAAAGTAAATCATTTGAGAAGTAAGAATAGCAGACTGGGGGTGGTGGCTCACACCTGTAATCTCAGCACTTTGGGAGGCTAAGACAGGCAGATCACCTGAGGTCAGGAGTTTGAGACCAGCCTGACCAACACTGGAAACCCCATCTCTACTAAAAATACAAAATTAGCCGGGTGTGGTGGTGCATGCCTGTAATCCCAGCTACTCAGGAGGCTGAGGCAGGACAATCGCTTGAACCCAGGAGGTGGAGGTTGCGGTGAGCTGAGATTGCGCCCCTGCACTCCAGCCTGGGCAACAAGAGTGAAACTCAGTCTCAAAAAAATAAAACAAAACAAAACAAAACAAAATACATATGATTTATGGGTCTGGAGCTTTGGCAGTCAGTAATATCTAAAACTTTCCCTGACCCAGAACATCTAGAATTGCTGACCAGGAAATGCTGCTTTAATCCTATTCAATACACAGCAGAGCTCAAAGAAAGTAAAGAGAAATCCCAGGCTCCAGTAGCAAAGAGGAAAATGAAACAACGCAAATGTCCACCTATAATATAAATCCTGTTGTGTTTGTTCAATGGAATAATAACAGTAATGAGAATGAACAAACTGTGGCTACATGAAACAACATGAGTGAGTCTTACAAACATAATTATAAGCAAAGGAAGCCAGACACAAAAGAGTATATGCTGTATAATTGCATTTATATGCAGTTCAAAAATAAGCAAAGTTCATCTATGGTGTTAGATGTCTGAATAATGATTCTTGTTGGAAGAAGACAGTGATTGGAAGAATCCTAACAGGTTTCTAGTAATGTTCTTTTTCTTCAGCTGAGATCTTGTCGCATAGGAATGTTCCGCCATGAAAAGATGTTGAGCTCTATACTTATGATTGGTGTACCTTTCTGTATATACATTATATGTCATTAAAATGTATGTATGGAAAAAGGGGAAGAGATAACCAAAAACCAAAGATGTAAACCTGGCAGCTAAAACTTGGGCAACAGGGTCGGGCACGGTGGCTCATGCCTGTAATCTCAGCACTTTGGGAGGCCAAGGCGGGTGGATCGCCTGAGATCAGGAGTTCGAGACCAACCTGACCAATATGGCGAAACCTCGTCTCTATTAAAAATACAAAAATTAGCCAGGTGTGGTAGCATGCGCCTGTAGTTCTAGCTACTTGGGAGGCTGAGGCAGAAGAATTGCTTGAACCCAGGAGGCGAAAGCTGCAATGAGCCAAGATCGCGCCACTCCATCTTAAAAAAAAAAAAAAAAAAACACTTGGGTAACAGCATTGTGGGTTTTATTAAACATGGAGTTTTAGTTTAATGTCCACCAAGAGGAGAACTTGAGGCCTTGGAGACATACAAGAAAAGAAGATTTAACTAAGACATACACGGAATGCTGGAACCATCAAAAAGCTACACCCACACCAAAAGGCTGAACTAGAGGGAAAAATCTCCATACCAACAAACAGGTAGAAAACAATGAAGCTTGTTTGCCTTAAACAGAATTCAGAGTTTTGTTTCTTTTTTAAAAAATGTCTCTTTAGAAAATTATAACCCAGACCTAAGCCTGATGAAGTTAGACGGTTCACATACATACTTCGTACTACCTACATGGTCCAGAATTTTCCAAGATGGCATCTTATTTTGAAGGTTGACCTGAAATGGAAACTCTAGGTGACAGAAATGTTCAGTAT